ACTAGAGAATATAGTGACTATAATCATAGTATGATTCTGTGTATATTCAAATTTTACCTCCAATTTTCCTAGTACCTCTCATACCCCCGCCTGCTATCAGGGCCAAGATTGTCGGTAATGGGAGTATTTCTAGGGCATAATTTCAATAAATTTGGATTGCAGAGAGTGAGAGGAACCATCTACATGAAAATTGTTGTGATCTTTGTGTGTACAAAATTTCGGCAGTTGGCATGAAGTGCTAATAAAAGGGGGGTATTGGGGGGTTCCCCTGATATAAAGTAGGGAAATTTAGGTTTGGATTTTTGGGTTTGCATTATACCCAGGTTTTGGGACTTTGTCTTGGGAGCGTCCGTCACTTTTGGATTATGTCTGCCCAAAAGTTGGGTTTATGAGGAAGAGTTATGGTTGTCTGGTAAATGGTATTGATTACTGCTGGGTGAAGAAAATAAATAAAAATTTTACACTCTGGAGATTAATGGCATTGAGCTGACTTTGAGTGTGGGATTTGGCTGCATCCAGCCAAACATCCTGTTTGAAGTGTTCTGGCACGTTGCCGTGCCCTTGAAATATTGCCCTCTTTTTAGTTAACTCTTTTGAGCATTAGTCCTATTTGTAATTTTTTTTTTTTTTTTTTTATATATATATAATGTTAGAGAGTTTAACCCCTTCCCGACAGGTCATGGCGTGAGGCGTCATAACAGACTGCTCGATATGTGGCGTGCGGCACTATGAGCCAGTGATTCGGCTTGATGTACTGAAATATTAAGGAAAATGCAATGGATGCAGGGGAATATATGAGGAAATCCTGTAATTTTCCACCCTTTATCCCCTTCCCCTACTAATGGGATATCAAATCAAGATTGTCGGCTGTATTTGATATTGCACCAATCGGTATCGCAATATATCTGCTGTACACCAGTAACTCACATCAGATATCTTATTTTTATGTGGAAAAAGGGTGTGCCTGCCTTAGACACAATTACTGAAATTGTAACACATACCATTTAGTCACAATATATATGACATATGCTGTTTGCATGATATTTATGTACTGTGTGCAGTGCCATCTGTTGGGTGGATAGAACAGAAGGGGTGCAAGAAAAAATAAGACATTGGGCCTGTCAGCTCCTTGACAGCACTTGTGGAAGACATAACATTGGCAGGTTATTAGGGATGTTCCTGGTCCCTCTCCGACTGTATGCAAAAGTGCAGTAGCCAAGAGGCTATTTATTAGCTTTATGCTCATGGGACACAGCCCTCTTCATTATAACCTTTAGTATACCATGTGATTTCAGATTAGTGTGTAGCCATATTTGTGATTAATCATAGGCTTCATCCTGCTGGTTGTTTGTGGAAGGTTTTTGTCTCCCAGGGTGGGGGTTGGAGAGTGCCCCCCCCTTCTGTAGTGGTCACAAGGGTACAGTAGAGAGCTCAACATTGATATGCCAAAATTTTTTGTTTTTATAATTTTCCCATATTAAAGTACTACAGCTTGTTATTTCAACATTATTTACATTGTGAGGTATGTGTACTAATCGTGTTCTATTTTTCCAGGGCTGATGGCAGTGTAGAAATATGGAACTGCAAGCATCGACCTTTTATGCAACAAGTTATTCAGGGTAAGCCTTTTCTTTGTTACTTCTTATCTGAAAAAATTTTATGTAATTTTTTATAATATGTGACTTTCTAATACCTCTTTGAAGATTTGCTTTGTATGCCAATATTATTAGTAGATTTTATCTGATGTACAGTGCTTGTTAAAATGTTTGTTGCCACTACATTGTGATCGCCAGTAGATGTTACACAAATTCAAAGTATTCTTTGATTAATTTAGCAGAATGGCACGGAGTTCCATCTTGCATAGAAGTTTTATTCTTGAATAACTTGTTGGTCATACAAAAGCTCCAAATAGATACCTTTATTTACTGTAACATTGTTTGGTAACACAACTAGTACCCAATAGCACTCCATACCATGAAAATCTACCCTTTTCTTCTGTTAGTGATTGTTAACAGTTAGTTTCTTTTGAGTGGCAGGTGCTTGAATTTGAAGTCCTCCTTCAGCCTTTGACTCTCAGTATGTAGTGATACATTACCCAACACATTTGGGTTGCTTTCTTTCAATTGAATTCAGTGATGCTGGGGCTAGTATCAACCTGCTTCTTGAGAATATTAAGATTATGTGGAGGTGTTATCCTTTGCCTTTTCTTCTCCATCAGCCTTGTGAAACTTCTTGGTTCACCACCACACTGGTGATATTGGTTATTTCTTTATTTATTTTTCTAGCTTTGTAAAGTGATGTCATAGCAGCAGTTTGCTTGCTTGAGAGATCTTTAACCTTCTCTTCAACCTTTACCATGTTTATACTCTAGTCATTCTAATAAGCAGTTATCACATAATAGAAAAAGAAACCAGCTACTGTGACAGCTTGTCAATATTATCCATACATTCATGAGGGTGTTTCTGATTTTATCAGAATGATTGGCACAGGCCCTTTGTCGACATATATTTTGATGAGCACTGACTGCTGTCTGTTCAAAAACCTTCATCACGTATATCTGAATAACATGAGATTTCCTAAGATGATAAAATTAGATATTACCCCTCTTGTCTTCTACAGGTGATGAAGACAGTTCTGTTGAAGCTTTGGCTTGGTGCAATGGCAGGTTGTTTAGTGCTGGTCTTCATGGCTTTTTGCTGGAGTATGACCTTGCCTCTTGTACTGTCAGATCTCGCACAGCAGTCACTGGGGGGCCTACGTGGTGTCTTGCCCTCGCACCCAACAAACAGAAGTTGGCTGTAAGTTCTATGTTTGGATTTTCTTGTATATAAGTTTGCCAGTGAATGGTGTTTGAAAATATGTTTTTTTTAGAAATACATTGTTGTAGTTTTTTTTTTCTAGATTTATTTATTTTTGTTTTACACAGGCAGGAACAGAGGATGGATATGTCTGCCTGTTTAACGTTGATGAAGACAGAGTCATATATGACAAGAGCTTGGCCAAACAAGAAGGTAAGTGTATTGATCCCATGTTTTGTATCTTCTCCTGTTTTTACAGTTTACAATGTGAATTTGAAATGACTTGATATTCAGTGTTAAAAAGGTAACTTTATTGAGTATGCTGTTCATTTGAATGTTTCTTGTATATTACCATGTAGATATAAATTACATGTCTTTAAATATTATTAAATGTTTTTTGTTAATTTTTTGATTTTGTCCACTTTGTAGGTAGAATTTTGAGCATAGGCTGGCACCTTAGTGGAAACTACATTGTCACTGGATCTGTTAACTGTGTGAGACTCTGGTCATTAAAAGATGGGAGGGTAAGTGTTACAATATCTAAATGGACTTACATGCACTGAAACATGTAATTCCAGTAAAAGTGCAATTGATAATAATGTGTATATTAAGGTAACCAAGTGAATGTCAGCAGGCCTCAATGCCACAGATATTATTCACTTTGAAGTATTGGAAGTGAAATTCGTACTTCTTGGTTTCAGGTTACGAGATGTTCGATGGGGCAAACAAGGGGAAGGGAGATTATTGTATGGTGCGTAGCTATCCTGGACGACATGACAATTGTTAGCGGCGACTCAAGGTAAATGTTGTCTTTAGGCTATTTTGAAATGAGAGATTGTTTCATTTTTTTGGGATAATGTTATTTGGAATTTTATATGCTTTTGCTTAGCTTAATCCAATTGATATATGAAGTGTACTCTTTTCTTCTCTATACATGTATTGTTCAACCTGTTCATTGTACCTGTATTTAAATGTAAGTTGTGCTTAATGCTTATTTGAATTCCTTTTTTTATTAACAGAGGGAAAACATGCTTTTGGAATTCCACACTCGGAACAATGACACAGTATGTGCAAACCCACAAAGCAGACGTCTTGTCTCTCGTCATATGCCCAGAACAAAAGTTGCTGTACGTCGCAGGTGAGTGTCGGAAGAAGGAATTCTCACATTCCTTTGAGGTGTGAGGTCCTGTTGTTCCTTTTTTGCTGTTGATGGTTTAGGATGATTGAAGGGGGTTTGAGAAGGAAGGACATTGGGTAAGAAAGATTTAAGGAGAGAACAATTATTGATGGGCAGACATAACACCAACAATACTGACAATACCAACACAAACAATACTAACAATACTAACAATACCAGCAACATCAACAATACCAGCAACATCAACAATACCAACAATAATTCCAACAACAAACAATACTAACAATACCAACAACAATTCCACCAACACAAACCATACTAACCATACTAACCATACTAACAACACTAACCATACCAACAACAACAACAACAACAACAACAACAACAACAACAACAACAACAACAACAACAACAACAACAACAACAACAACAACAACAACAACAACAACAACAACAACAACAACAACAACAACAACAACAACAACAACAACAACAACAACAACAACAACAACAACAACAACAACAACAACAACAACAACAACAACAACAACAACAACAACAACAACAACAACAACAACAACAACAACAACAACAACAACAACAACAACAACAACAACAACAACAACAACAACAACAACAACAACAACAACAACAACAACAACAACAACAACAACAACAACAACAACAACAACAACAACAACAACAACAACAACAACAACAACAACAACAACAACAACAACAACAACAACAACAACAACAACAACAACAACAACAACAACAACAACAACAACAACAACAACAACAACAACAACAACAACAACAACAACAACAACAACAACAACAACAACAACAACAATAATTCCAACAACAAACAATACTAACAATACCAACAACAATTCCACCAACACAAACCATACTAACCATACTAACCATACTAACAACACTAACCATACTAACAACAACAACAACAACAACAACAACAACAACAAGAAGCATACCGACAGACACACCTTGAAAGAGCATGAAATATTAACAATATGCCAGGGTTACATAAAGGAAAAGTCAGTACAGCCTTTTAGATGCCACATAACTTATGCTGTTGATTCATAGGTCCTTTCCATCGCCTTTCCAGGGGTCGACCCGACAATCGTGCAAGTCAAATTGGTACAGACTGGTTCAAAATCAGGGAGGAAGGAGTGCTGGATGAGGTCACTGCCCCGCTCCATCCACACGCACGACGTCAGGGCCATGGCACTGACGTCCAGTGGGAAACTGTATTCGGGAGGTGAGTGCACATGTTGCAAAGTTTCGAGAATGGCGTTGAGGGTGTTTTGTTGCCTTGTATCCTTTTAGTGTCTTCAGTCCATTGCCACTGTGCACACTAGGAGTTTAGTTTATTGATTTTGTTGAAACATTGATGGCTCTGTATGTGCATAGTTACCAAGTTCAAGTTCAATCTGTCCCATTTGTACCTTTTTCTAAATTTTTGGAAATATTTAATTTTGTATTGTATTTTTAGTACTGTTGTAAATAGCATCATGATTTTCATAATGTTGATAATAATAAAAGTATCAAAATTAAAAGTATTAGAGAAGAAATTCCCTGAAAGCTTGAGCAAAGAGGAAATCAAGTGAGATCATGTAGGCCTACTAATTGATCCCTTGGTAGCTTGAACACCTGTGGGGCCATTTATTTGTAAACATGATTCACAAAACAAAACTTCAGGGGACATTCATATTCACAAGGACAATGGGTTAGAATAAAGGTTACTAGTTTATGGTGCTAAGATATGTTGGTGTTAGTAGTGATTATATTGTGTTGATTTAGGAACATTTATAGAGTAATGGATCTTATTTATCATCAAAAAAAATCTCAGAATTTTTTATGATACTTACTAGTTTTTTCTTTGACATAGGTGTGGACACAGTGCTGGCCCTGAGCTACTACCCTCCAAAAACAGTCATTAAATATCGTGCACTTCCACATGTAAGATATTTTAATGTTTTTTGAGTTGATAGACAGGTTGAACAAATATATATTTTACCAGTATTGCTTAAATGAAGGAAATAGAAAATCCTATTGTTTTTATTAAACTTATCTATTTACAAGAATATGTCCTTTACATGGAAACATTTGTAGATTTTGTAGAATGAAGACCAAGATTCTGAAGTTCATGACATAATTTTCAACTGATGCATAATAACAACAACCATGGCATTTGGTCCATGATTCACTTAGCTTGTATGAAGAAGAAAAAAGATAATCTCCATGATTTCTTATAGCCAGGATCCATATCAATTGCTGGTGAGGCTGAGTCAATTTTGCTGCGTTACAAAGACCGCTTGGACCTTTGGCAACTTGGACATTACCAGGGCAACAAAAAGAAACCCTCTGGTTCGTTTCTGCCCATTGCTCAGGTATGTTGTTTATGATATTGTTGTCTACTTTGCCTTTGTAGACATCAGAAAAAGATTTATTTATTTATTTATTTATTTATTTTATTTATTTATTTTTTTTAAATTTCAGGCTAAAGAGTGATGTAATTGAAAGGAAGTTGAATGGGCTGTCACATTATGTTTAACATCTTGGTGATAGGATACTGGATTCTTATGGATTTGTTTGGGATATGGAATTGGGTATCACATGGTCACTATTTCCCTCTGTCATGCTAATAAGGGCATAAAAAAAATTAATAAAGGTAATAAGTAAGGTAACTAAGATGCTGATGTTCTTCCTGTATGGTTGGTGATGGCCACGATTGTAGATTATTGCACAATGTATGGCCAGTCCTATTTGCTAGTTGTGGAAGGCCTGTCAAAGACTGAATGGAATGAATGTTGTGTCCAATAATAATGATCTGTTACTGTTGGCAAATCTTCAGCCACACTCACATTATCATCCCTGTATCTCCACTTCCCTTGTAGGCCTCCTGTGCCTGAGCTAATCACACAGTTGTGCTTTCCTGCCTCTCATACTATTGTGAATGTAACTCAGTGTGCATGAATTCATAATGCTGGTGTTATATGACATATTTCATCTAGTGTGTCATTTACATATTCATAGCAATCTGTCATTTTCATTCGTGTGTGAAGGGTAACTGTGATATAACAAGAGTTTAAATTTTCTGGTGAATGAAATAGAGTTCTTCATATGCTTGCAACCAGAATTTGCCATAATGAAAAATTGTACCTTATTTGTGGCTGGAGGAACAGAGAAGATAAAGGCTATGTGGTTCTTTGGGGTTCAGAGTGGAGAAGAATGGAGAAGGCAGAGCAGAAAAGTTATTTATCTATTTGTCTATTTATTTGTTTTTTTATTTATTTATATAAAAGTAATTGAAGCAAAGATGTACTTGATAGGTTGGTGATCGACAACAGGTTTAGAGGTTGCTAATGGTAATCAATATACATAGTTTTATGAAATACAACAATGCTTTTCACTCATATTGTGCCTTCGATTAATCAATACCAAACTTATGATTGCAGCTTCATCTTGGTAAAAAAAAATAGCTAATTAGAATAGAGTATCCCCATCAACCCTATAGCTCTTGATTGACAATCTGGCTCTTACAGGATCGTGTGAAGCTGCTAGAACTCCAATGCAAGGAAGACGAAGTGACGGAGTGGAGTGCCATTTCCTCCAGTGGCGAGTGGATCGCGTACATTGTCCAGGGCAACCACAGGCTATTCCATTTCAATTTGCCGAAGGTAAAAGATATGTCAGTCTTTGAAAATGAAGTTATTATCGTTGTCGTCATTGTTATTCTCATTGTTATTATCATCATCATCGTGTTTATTATCATCCTGGCGGTCCAAGCAAGATGGTTAGCTTGAGCAACATTTGATAAAGTCTACCTCCCTGGCTCCTTTATAATCTTGCTTTTACCATGTACAGGATGGCAAAGGGTTGAGCATACAGAGGATAAAAGCAATAAATGAGAACATCAAGCAGTGTCGACAAGTTTTGTGGATTGCAGAAGGCAAGTTAGCGTCAGTTGCTCTTGATGGCACTATTCAGGTGAGCTTTGTTGTTGATTTTGTTATTATTATCATTATTATCATTATTATTATTATTATCATTATTATCATTATTATCATTATTATCATTATTATCATTATAATAATAATAATTATTATTATTATTATTATTATTATTATTATTATTATTATTATTATTATTATTATTATTATTATTATTATTATTATTATAATTATTATTATTATAATTATTATTATTATATTATTATTATTGTCATTATTATTATTGTTATTATTATTATTATCATTGTCATTGTTATCATTGTCATTGTTATCATTGTTATCATTGTTATCATTGCTATCATTGTTATCATTGTTATCATTGTTATCATTGCTATCATTGCTATCATTGTTATCATTGCTATCATTGCTATCATTGTTATCATTGCTATCATTGCTATCATTGCTATCATTGCTATCGTTATTATCGTTATTATCGTTATTATCGTTATTATCGTTATTATTGTTATTATTGTTATTGTTGTTATTGTTGTTGTTATTATTATTGTTATTGTTATTGTTATTGTTATTGTTATTGTTATTGTTATTGTTATTATTATTATTATTATTATTATTATTATTATTATTATTATTATTATTATTATTATTATTATTATTATTATTATTATTATTTTTGTTTTGTTTTTGTTTTTGTTTTGTTGTTATTGTTATTGTTACTATTATTGTTACTATTATTATTGTTATTATTATTATTGTTATTATTATTATTGTTACTATTATTATTGATATTGTTATTTTATTGTTATCATCATCATCATCATCATCATCATCATCATCATCATCATCATCATCATCATCATCATCATCATCATCATCATCATCATCATCATCATCATCATCATCATCATCATCATCATCATCATCATCATCATCTTTGTTGCTATTGTTATTGTCATTATTATTAGTTTTTTTTTCACATTCTGTTAAACATTTTTTGTGTGTTTCATACAGGAAGGGAGTGTTGTATGAATAGATTTCCCTTTCTTCTGAGGAGGTAGTTTAGGAATGTCATAGAAGGGATGGTCACTGTCTTGGTGTGGTTGCAGCATATCTTGGAATGTTGCCTTGATTTTTTATTAATCTTTGCTTATTATCTGTTCAAGAGAAAGTTATTTGTTCTGTCTGCATGTGTGAGGGATGGCAAATTAATCCGAAACCATTTATCATTATAGATCATCAGCGTGACAGAATCAGAGGCAGAAGTTGACTTGGAGCTGTGTCTTGAGCCAGGCCACAGTGTAAACAAGATGAAGGCCAACCATGAGGGCAGCATCCTGGTGGTGGCTGACAACCAGGAGGTGATCACAGCCTTCAACCTGCGCAAGGACACCAAGTCTGTGCTGCCAAAGTACAGTGCCCCCGTCACAGCCCTGGGCATCCACCCAGTCACGTCCGATGTGGTGGTGGTCTATGCCGACATGATGGTAAAAGAATACAGCCTACAGACACAGCATTACACCCCCTTCTGCCGCGAGTTTCTTTCCGAGTGCCCAGCAGAATTGACCAAAAGGAATTCAGTGGTCCACGATGTGAGCTTTGACGTGAGGCACAAGAACCTGGTCCTCCTCCACGACGATTCGGCCATCATTGTCCTCAATAAGGAGAAGAGTGTTAGTGAACCTTATGTCAATAACAAACCGGCCAAAATGAAGCGTAGAGATAATTCCGCCAGACGAGTTAATGGCAAGGTTGAGAAGGGCAAAAGTACTCTGTGCTTTACTATTGCACGAAGACCAAATCAAATATTGCACTTTTCGCACGTGAAAAATGATTCAGTAGTGAGTGTAGAACTGGATGACCTACAGTTGTTAGATAAATTACCGACAACTCTAAAGGTGAAGAAATATGGAGGAGTGTAAATGCGAGACTAAAAATAATAGGAAGAAATAATGAAAATTATCTTTTGTATTTTTGGGTTGCCTTTGTTGATCAAGGAATACTTTTTTCTTGAATTGAATTATAAAGTGAATATGTGAATTGTGTAATATGCTGTTTATAAAGTATAT